CTGGCTCCCATCTGGGCACCTCCCCACTCCAGGCTGTGCGGCCCTTTGGAGGCTGTGGAAAGTCTGCCTGCTCTGACCCCCGTCTGCAGTCTCAATTCCTGGCGACCCCCTTACCCACTTCTCCCCTTTTCTGTCATTGGTGGTCCTCCCTGACACCCCATTTTCCTTGAGCCACCCTCACAGCTGCATGTCTGCCCTCCCCTACTGCCGGAAGGCCCCTCGAGGTGAGGGACGTGCATTGTTGACCCTTACGACGCTGGCACTGAGCACAGAGCTTGGCACACCAAGGCTCCTCCAGAAATGTTTGTGAATGAAAAAGGCCTCATTCTACTTTCTGGGCCAAAAGTAGTAAAGCCGGTTCTTCCCCAGGACAGCCTTTCGACTCGTTGAAAACCGCTAAGCTGCCCCTTGAGTCTTCTTTTCTCCAAGTAAAACAGCCTCTGTTTCTGAATCCTTCCTCGTGGAAGCGGTTTTCTGCCTGCCACTGCCCCGGCTTTTCATGCCCCTCTCCTCTCTGCCCGGAACTGAGCGTGGTCACCAGGGGTCCTGTGACCAGTCGGCTTCCCCAGAGAAAAGTCAGGAAAATCGGAGATTCACGCTCTGGAGGACAAGACAGTGATGGTTGTGGTGTTCTTTCTGCTGGGGTGAGACATGACGGAGGATACAGACCAAGGCTAGAAATGCTTTGGAAGAGGCATCCTGTTGCCATGACAACGTGCAGTGTAACTCCGGTTGGCAGCACAGACTTGGGGCTCAGGCAGATCCAGGTCTCACTCCGGCTCCAACACTTCCCTGGTGCTGGGGGGCACAGACTTACCCCTCACATTGCTCGGCCTCAGTGACCTCATCTGTGAAATGGGAAGAAGCCCTCCCGGCACAGTATGTGGCATGTGCCCAGTGAGGAGAGAAGTGGTCTGGGTATCAGAGCACTTCGCACATGGACATCAGTTGTATTGTTATCATCAAAAACACTCTAGGGAAATGTTTTTTGTTTTTTTCTTTTTTTAATAATTGAGCCCTTCCAAACCACATCCCCCCAAAGTTCCCTGCACAGCCCTGTGCACCCCCAAACAGGTGAATGTCCTGGGAAAGGAATTCCTTCCCAGGCGTGAGTTAAGAAGCACAGGAAGTGTGGAATTCCCCCACTCGTTCTAAAGGAGCACGAGAGTTAAAGGAACAGACACTAACTCTCACGGCCACTGGAATGGTGCCGCCAAGCTTGCAAAATAACTCCAAACCAGGGGCTAGAAATAAGACCGTCCGTCGCAAAATGATCCTGTTGATAAGACTGCTGTTTGTCACGTCTGTCTGTGCAGTTTACTGTGTTAAAAGCAGAAGGAGAAAAGTGATGCAAAGCTGCCTGGCACGCACGTCTGCAGTTCCCTGCAGGAAGAGCGGATCAAGGGAACAGCGGCGCGGGGACGGCGACTGCGGAAAACTGCTGCTGCTGCGTGGGCACAGGAGAGGGTGCCCCGCTGCCCCGCAAACACACAGTTTAGCCCAAGACGACAGGCAATTGTTTATGTGAAAATTGTCTTTCCGTTGGTTTTGGTTAAAACTAAGATTTTTAAGAGGGACTGAAAAGAATAATATTTTGCCTTTATTATTATAAATTATCTTTTTTCTAAGAAGCTCCAAGCCTTCTATGTATAGCATCTCATTTTCTTATTTACTTTTGGGGCTGGAAGTAGGGAAGCTTTTGACTTAAACTTGAAAGAGCTTTTTGTGAGCAGGGGCTCCTGGAGTCTGCCCCCTCGCCCTTCAGCCAGACCCCAGCTGCAGCGCACAGGCCATGTTGGAAAGAAGTCAGGGGCCGGGAGAATGGAAGAACTGATGGACTTGAAAGGGATTAGGAGACAGTGGACAGACTGGGGTTGTTAGGTGTGGGGAGAGGTGAGGGTGGATGCCCACCTCTGTGGTCTGGGTAGGAGGGGGTGGGTCCCCTACGCAACTAGTGGGAGGCAGGGCTGCGGGGTGGAGGAAGAAGGGTCTAGCTTTAGCTGTGTTGAGTTCTGAGGCTTCTAGGAGGCAGACACCATGTAGGGATGTGAAACTCTGGAGAAGGTGTGACCTGGAGCTCCAGATGCAGATGGGGATGTCACCCACTCACAGAAGCTAAATGAAGCCAGAGAGTGGGTGAGATCAGCCCACAGGGCTGCATTGAAAGGGGTGCGAGAAACCAGGACAGACCCCGGGGAACGCCACCATCAAGGCCAAGCTGTGTATACCTAAGCGAGCACGTAGTAGAAATCTGTGCTTTAGGGCGGTGGTTTCTGACCTTGGCTGTACTTGAGCATAACCTGGGGAGCTTTAAAAACTGCTGACACTTGGACAGCACCCCAGTTACACCAAAATCTCAGGGCTGGGACTGGATATCATAGTTTTCAGAGATCCCCAGGCGACACTAGTGAGAACCACTGAGTTGTTGGGAAAGAAAGAGGCTGCTTCCTTGTCTGGGTCATCCTCTGCCCCTCATCACTTACAGTGGTCTCTTTTCTCCAAATTCCAAGCACACACAGTCACCAACATTACCTCGTACTGTCATCCTCTGACTGGCATATCCTTTTGCATGGTTCCCAGTCGAGGTGACGATTCTGGGACCCACCTCCTGCCCCTCTTCCTGTCCTCGCCACCCTAGCAGAGGGCGTGGTGCCTGGACATGATCAATACAGATCGGCTCAATGCACAAAGTGGAGCATGTCCACACTTCCTCCTGAACGCCTCTCACGCCTGGTCTTTCTCCTGGACAGTGACCAGAACGCAGGACTTCCAGCTCAGAGGCCCCTTTCAGTCCGCATTTCATGCACAGCCTTTCTGTGTAGAGTCTTAGGATGTTTCAGCCAGAGATGCACTTAAGCTGCTTTGTCGTTTGAGAGAGTTGGTTTTATTAAATAAGAAAATCACAGGTGAGGAAGAGAGAGAGGGAATTCTGTAGCGTTTTGTCTGCTTTATCGGTGAAAGCTCGGGGCGAGGTGGCCTGGTTCGGCAGCGTCACCCTAGCCAGGAAACCATGTAAAACAGTACCCCAGGCAGAGGGGACAGTTCCAGATAACCTGCTTGGAATTTGGAGAAGAGAGCACCGTGTTCAGGGCAGGGGCGGGGGCAACCAAAATTGTTTTGATCTGTTGCTACCACAGTCTGACTAAATTTATGTGAATTTGCCTCTTGTCTTGGACTAAACTGTGCGTTCACGGGGGCAGCAGAGCACCCTCTCCTGTGCCCACTTGGCAAGCAGGGGATTTTCTACAGTTGCTGTCTGTGTGCCTCTGTTCTCTCAGTCCAGCTCTTCCTGACAGGAACTGCAGACAGCCTTTTTATCTATTGATCTAAATCTACGAAAGAGTCAATATCTATCCAGATTCTGGCACCAAACCCGGGCCCAGTGGCCAGGCCAAAATAAATCACCCACCAATGCTGGCCACCCCCAAATTCAGCAGGACCAGGGGTGGACAGTCCGATGTGGGAGAAACGATGGCCCATGAAGGAAGAGGGCAAGGCCTTTGGGATTGGAGGTGTGGGTTTGGGTCTTAACCACTTACTCATCTCTCAGGCCGTGGTCCTCTCCCCTCTGGAGTGGGGGCTCTGAGCTTGCCCTCATGTTTGCAGTGAAGGGTAGATGAGAGGACCCACGCACGTGGCCCCGCACCTCCAGCATAGACTCGGTAGCCATCAGCCTGGCCTTGAGTCCTGTCTGCCACTTTGTAGCCACATGACCCAGGCCACCCCTTAACATCTTTGAGCCTCAGTTTCCCCACCTGTAAATGGGGCTGATGATAATGGCTCTCCCATCATAGGGTTAAGGTGAGGATGAGAGGGCTATTGTGCACACGTGTAGTGCTGGAGGAGGCAGCGAGGCTGCGTGCTGGCTCAGACCGCATGTGAGCCATGGGCGACGTGTGTAGCGATGCTGGCTAACTGCTGGTGCCCACCGTTTTCACCACACCACACTGCCTGGAGACTGGGAGCAAAACCTGGGATTCTGAATTCTTAAACTCTGTGGCCACGGGTCTAAAAATAGCACCTACCAAACAGTGCTTGGTTAATACGATTTTCCTTCTGCATGTCCTTGCATGTTGGGGTCTGCAAATGCAGATGGCCCAGGGGCTGGACCGGCACAAGGATCTGGTCCACCGATGTCCACTTTTGTCTTTGAAGGCGCGTAATCAGCTTTGTGGCCCCAACTTGCTATTTGGTGCCGGGGGATGGACGCAGCCACCGTGCCCCTAGAGACTTTTGTACCATTCACTGAATGACTCTCTTGGTTTAAAATTGTGCCTGATGCCTTAATGATGTTTTAAGAAATACAAAAATAGGAGGACATACACTGTTCACTGCAGCTGAAACGGCTTTTATCTGTCACAATTTCATACAAAGCACAAATTGTTGTGAAAATACCTGAACTTCACTGTCACAGGGGTGCTTTGAAGAGATTGTTCGATGTGTGGCAATTATTCACGGGCCCACGGTAAGTCCATCCAACTCTGTCATGGAGCCCCGCCGTCCAGGGGGAGCCGTGGTCACAAAGGCACAGCCAGACGGAGGCCAGCACACAGCGTTGCGGACCTTGTGCTGAGATGGCTTTCCTCGTGGCCAGCGAGCTGGAATGCGCCTGGAACTGTGAGGCGGCTGCAGTTAAAACTCGTCGCCCCGTCCCCCATTCATTCTCAGCAGAAAACTATTGGTATCTTTCAAGCCAAACCAAAGCAGGTCTCAGGGTCCTCAAGCAGAATGTTTGTCCTCAGGTGTGTCCTGCCCTACAGGACAGGCCCGCCAAGGGGAGGGAAGACCGGGAGGCCCCACACTGCCGTGAGGGAGGGGACACGGTCGGGGCAGGTTCTGAGCTGCAGCGTGCATTAACATGCATGTGCCATGGGGCCATGGCAGGTGGGCAGCTCAGCCTGGGTGCTTGTGGGAGCCGTCACGGACAGCCGTGATGAGATCAGATGTGCACCTACGAGGGACGTGCTTTCACAACCAGGGTTCTTCTTGCTCCTCTGCAGGTGGCTCGACAGCTCCAGCCCTCCGTGTTGTGGATCCAAGACACAGAAAAAACCTTCTACAAAAAAGTTCCCAACACTGAGAAGCTGGTGAGGGCTTCCCGATCGTTTCTTCCTATGGCTTTTTTCCCCTCCAAGGGAGCCCCTTACCAGAGACTACCTCTGCCCTTCGAGAAGGTCCTGCTTTTTCAGGGGAGGAAGGAAATTTCAGGGCTGTTTAATCTCCTGCAGTGGTCTCTCTCTGCCCTGAGTACTTGTCTGTGTTTGAAAGGATCCAGTGGTCTGATTTTATGAGGCATAATTTAGAAGAAAATGAAAGAAAAGTGTGGGAGAAGGGGGTGGGGGGTTTTCCACCCAAACATATGACTCAGAGGTAAGAAACAATTTAGAGAACTCTGCTCAGTTAAAGCAAACGGCACACATAGGAGCTATTTTAGGATTTCCTATTGTTCATAATAATAAATAGCAAAAGGCCTGAGATTTATGAACAAAGACCGTCACAGAGCTGCTAAGTGCACCGCACTCGGGCCCCCAGGGAGTCGTGGTTCGATTGCTTCCTTCCTTCTTTTCTCTCCTTTCAATGGCCCCCTCCCCCGTACTTCCCCCCACAAATCACCAGCAAATTTCCCACAAGTTAAAAAAAATTTGCAGATACACATGATTGTTATTCCACACCAATTTGCACCAAAGCAAATAGTGGTTAACTGTGAATTCCTGATTAAATTCATAAGGATTTTAATCACTTTTGATCCTTATGTATTATACATCGTTTTTAGCAGATAGAGATGATTTGGATAGAGAATGAAAGCTCAATCTTTTCTCCCCCAAATGAGCCATGATTGCCCTGTCATTTCAGACACTCTTACATGGACTCATTTATTATTTAATATGGGAATCCAGTAGCTAGCTCCCTCTGCTGGCAAAGTTGCTACACTGGAGAAGAAAAAAAGGTTCACATACATGCAAAGTGGATGGCAGGAATCGCTACGAACCAGACCATAAATCTAAGGAGAAATGCAAGGAGGTGTTTAATCCAAGGTGTCACACATCCGAAGTCATTGGAAGTTTGGCTCATTAATGGGCAGGGGCTACTCCTGTTCCCAGCAGACATCAGCCTGGGTAGTAGGAAGACACTGGCCTGGAACTCAGGCCAGCCATTCCCCTTAGCTGCTGTGTGTCCTTGAGCAAGTAACTTAACCTCTCTGAGCCTCCGCTTTCTTAACTATCAAAGTAAATGATTCCAGTCAGAACAGGCTCTGAGTTCACGAAGCCTCCCTCACATTCTCTCCCATGACCCCTGCAGCTGTGAATTTGCTGTCAGCAATTCCAGCTGTCTGCTCACCTGCCCACCCGAGTCCACGGAGCATCAGAGATGTGACACGTTTGTGTATAAGAGAGAAGAGCACTAGGAGAGGGCTGAAAAGGGGGCTTTGCGGGCACACTGGCAGCGGCGAATGAGGTATGGGCTCTGTAGACACGTTGCAGAAAGGGAGTTGACGGGAAGGGGCAGGAGGCCGGCCAAGGAGGGAGGTGACAGTGGAGAAGACAGAGCTGATCTCCAGAACGCTCCCCTGAACCCGCGCTTGGGTTGCTAGCACAGATACTCCATCAGCACCACGCTGGATTCCCACACATACTGTCCATGACTGGGTCTGTTCCTGTAGAAAATGAAGGCTTTGGTGACAGTTTTGTGGTGGACGGATTGGATACTTACTCTGTCCACTTCTGCATTGGAAGAGTCCACTGTCTGCCAGGGGAGTTAACTGCATCAAAGACCACAGTCACGCCCTGAGATAAATCCTGGGGTGTACAAGCAGGCGGATGCCCTGGGTCCCCGAACCGGCTGAGGGGCCTGAGCCGTGAGAGGCACCTACACCCCACCCAGCAGCCCCAGCAGGGAAGAGGGGCAGGGGAGGAAAGCATTGCCAGTGCGTCCCCAGCTCCACGCGGGAACCGGCACTCCTCTCCGCCCCACACCGTGCAGTGATGGCAGTGATGGCATCAGACCTGCTCCCCGAGAGCAAGCTGCGGGGTTCCTGCTGCCTTCCTGGGACTCCAGGGCCAGCCCTGGGCCAGCTCTGCTCCTCTTCCCAGCCTCTGGCCTGAGTCTTCCAGGTCTTACCCCAGCTCCTCAGCTGCCCCAAGTCGCCGCGAGCATGGACATCCACGTTCTGAAGGTGATGACCAAAGCCAAGGGCAGCAGCCACATGGGTGGCGAGAGGAGGCAGGAGGCATCACTTGGCCACCCACGGAGCCGTGTCCTCTCTCCCACCTGCCCCTGCCTCTGTGCCAAGGGCTGCCCTGGTCCCAGAGGTCCCAGAGAAGAAACCAGGGCTAAACTTGCCCAGGGGCAGCTGCCTGCTGGATTTGAGGGATTCCAGGAATGCCTCTTGAAAATCTGCTGTGACTGATCCACCCTCCAGTGCCTCCACTTGGGGCTAAGGCCCCTTGCTGTGGTAAAAGGCATGAAGCTCACCTGATCATAAGCAGGAGGCGGTGGAGAAGGCCAGGCGGGCCGCGATGGCTCCTGAGCCTGGAGCCTCTGTCGGGAAGCCAAGCTTCCCGGGTGCAGGGACACGAGGGACTGCTGCGGCAGGCAGAGGAGGACCCCAGCAGCAGGGGAGGCGTTAACTGACCACCTTCTCTTTCCCAGGCATGATTCACAGATCAGGGACACTCCCAGCAACCCTGGGAGGTAGGCATTTTTTTCTCTGTTGTACAGAAGACAGAGGCTCTGAGAGGGCACACGCTGGTTGAGGGGAGTGCCAGGACTCAGAAATAGGCCTCTCTGGATGCAGAGGCCGAGACCTTCCCCCCTCCTGGGTGCCGCTCACAGGCCAGAAACATCTCGTGCAAACCACCAGCTTCCCCTCTGCCCCACAGGCCGGCCCTCCGGTGAGCTTGAACTACCCCATGTCCTCCACCACCCTTCCTCAACCCCTGGGTTCACTCTAAACCTCAGCCTGAAACTGCCTTTGGGGACCTCTTGTCTTAGAACCAGAGATGCCCCTCTCTAGAGTTCTCCTGCCCACACCCCGCTCCCCTTGCATTTCCTCAACAAGCCTGGAGAAGCCCTTGTGCCTCAAGAATTTCAGGAAAGTCCAAGCTCCGAGTACCCGCACCCCTGCCACTTTGACAAACACAACCCTGCCCCTGGCAGATGCCCGGACAGCGCCCCTTCCCCTTCCCTCCTCCCAGTGGAGAGCGGCCGCTCCTCCCACTCCTCCCATCTGCGGCTGCCCTGCGATCAGTCCCTTGTCTGGTATGGGGCGGAGGCAGCAGGGAACGAGGCACAGCAGTCTGCTCCTGCATTCTCCGCACCATTACCCTACACTGCTGCAGTCAGCGAGGGCCTCCCTGACGTCGCCACAGTGCCTCCACACAGGAATGGCTTGCTTTGTTGGGGCTGGCTGCGGTGGTGATTTTGTGGAGCTAACAGCAGAGAAGCAAACTGAAATTGCTGTGTGGATGCTAGCCACTAATTTGAAATTGCCCACAGTAACACGGTTGTGCAGGGCTGGCAGGCCTAGTCATAGGGGCAGAGGCTGGAGAGGTGGCCTGGTGATCATGGGGATGTTGGCTTGTGTGATCAATGAGATCATGCAGGTCTCATGCACAATGCACAGCTCTGAACTGGAACAGGAGTGGCTGGGTGCAGGGGAGCTACTGACTGAATGAACACACCTCTTATTTCCATCCCTTACTAATGGGACTGCACCTCGCCATCAGCAAGGATGTCACTCTGGACACAGCCCAGGATCAACATTTGTTACCCAAATAGGCTGATTAATTTCAGGTGTCCCTGCCATTTCAGGACTCTCAGGTAGCAGTATCAACTCCTGCCTCGGAAAGGACAGGGACCACACCACCATCACCATGGCAACTGGGCTGCTAGGGCTGGGCTCAGACCATGCAGGTGGATCTCTGCTCCATGGAGTTTCAGTCTCCAGCCTCACCAGGACCCTCACATCAGCCATTCTTCCACTAGTCTTTGGGCATCTCACGTGCACCCCACACATCCCAGGCACCCCCATCATCTGCTTTGTTCTCCATCAAGCTCCTTAAGAGACTAGTCTTATCTCACCATCCCCACCCACTGCTCAACCCCCCACCATCAGCTTGCTGCCCTTGCCACTCCACAGAGATTCTTCTCACAAAGTTCTTCTTTGACACAAAAGAAGTACAAGACTTCTCTGAAAAACTAGAAAACATTGTTGAAAAAAATTTGAGACCTAAATAAATGGAAAGACATTTTGTGTACATGGATTGAAAGACAGTATTTTTCAGATGGCAGTAATCCCCAAATTGATTCACTGCAATCCCCATCAAAATTCTAACTGGCTTATTTGCAGAAATTGATGAGCTGATCCTAAACTTCATATGGAAGTTCAAGGGCCCCAGCTGAAACAATCTTCAAAAGAAAAACAAAATTGGAGGACTCACATCTCCCAGTTTCATTTTCCAACTTAATATAAATCTGCAGCAATCAAAACAGTGTGGTAATGGCATAAGAAGAGACATATAGACCATTGGAATAGAACTGAGAGTCCAGAAATAAACCCTTCATTTACAGTCAGTTGATTTCTGACAAAGGTGCCAAGACAATTCAATGCAGAAAGAACAGTCTTTTCAGCAAATGGTGCTGGAACAACTAGATAGCTACCTGCAAAACAATGAAATTGGACCCTTACCTCACACCATATACAAAAATCAACTAAGAATGTACCAAAGACCTAAAAGTAAGAACTAAAACTATAAAACTCTAAGAAGAAAATACAGGTGTAAATCTTTGTGACCTTGGATTAGGAAGTGGTTTCTTAGATATAACATAAAAAAACACAAGCACCAAAATCAAAAAAAAATTTAATTTTAATTTTTTTAATTTTTAAAATTTTTAATTTTTAATTTTAATTCATCAAAATTAAGAACTTTTTTGCTGCAAAGGACACCATCAAAACTGTGAAAAGACAGTCCACAGGATGAAAGAAAATATTTGCAAACCATGTACTGGTAAGGCACTTGTATCTAGAACAATACTTACAACTCAAGAATAATAATAATCAACAGCCCAACTTAAAAAATGGGCCAAGGGCCTGACTGCACATTTTTCAAAAGAAGATACACAAATGCCAAGTAAGCACGTGAAAAGATGCAAAACATCATTAGCCATCTGCGCAGTGGGAGCAAAAATGGCCAAGACTGCCTCGGGAAGTGTGTGTGGCAGCCGTCCCCACCGCCCCGAGCATTCTCCTTCCCACGCTTCCTCTTCGTTTCTCTGTGCTGGTCAAGGTTAATTTAGAGCCAGGTGTTGTCCGGGCAACAGGGCCAGATCGGACTCCCACGGTCACCCTGCTTGTCCCTCTCCCTCAGTGCTGAGATTATACTAGAATAATACGGGTTTAGACTATTTCCAAACTGCTTCAGAGAGATAAGCTTCCTAGCCTGATGTAACCAGGTATTTTTCAGACACGAGAGCCAGGGCCTTGGCATTTCGTTGTTACAGTAGTGAGCAAAGGAAATCTTGAGTCCTCCTTCCAAACAACTCAGGAAAACGGGAACACGGCAAACTGGTAAGTCCCTGCAAGTTTCCTTCCCCTTGGAAGTCAGCCACTGCTTCCCATTCTTAGGGTCAAGGTGCTCGAATGTTCAGTCAGGTGCTTCCTTCCTTCCCACTTTCCAAATCTGAATACCAGAGCTGGAGGAAAGGAAGTGCTGGCAATTAAAAATCACTGTGTCGAGCTAGGAAGCACATTCCCAGACTCATCCGAGGACAGACTTGAAGAAATTGTGTTTATCGGAGCTTTGAAATCACTTTAACAAAACGTATGCTACAGTGCGTTCTGTTTCTAAGCATAAATTTCCTTTAGTTTCAAATTCCTTTTTTATATTTTATTTTATTCTAATTGTTTTCCTCTTTATTCTAGAATGAACCTAAACGCCTAAAAAAACAGCTTCCCAAAATCCTGAAACTCCTGAAACCAGATGATAGGATTCTGATTGTGGGGACAACTCAGCGTCCTTTCGATGCTGAACTTCAGTCGTTTTGCAGAGTTTACCAAAAAATTATTTTGATTCCCAGACCAGACTATGCTTCCAGATACGGCAAGTATCCCAAGCCCCTTCCCACGTGCAGTGACAGACTAGGCCATCTGCTGTGTGCTTGTGGGCACGAGGCCAGCAGGGTGGCCTCATCCCCCAGTGAGCACCGAATGGCTCAGAGGAGCCCGTGCACTGCGGCGTGTGCACCTGGCCTGAGAGCAGAGCGCTGGGTCAGGAGAGCAAAGCCACGTGCCTCTGTTCTGTCTTTACCCAAGACAAAGGGAAACTGGATGGGGACTATTATTTCTGGCCCCGATGGTGACAAAGGCCCTCGTGGGTGCTCATTTTTCCTTTGACAGGTAGATTAGGATCACTCATCTTATACTGGTGGTGAGGGTGTCTTTCTCACAGAGCACCATTTCTTTTCACCAGGTTGATTTCTTTTTTCCAGTCTCAAAGTTCAAACACTTGGGCCGGCCCAGTGGCGCACTCGGTAGAATGCGGCGTTTGGGAGCGTGGCGGCCCTCCCGCCGAGGGTTCGGATCCCATATAGAGACCGGTCTGCTCACTGGTTGAGCGCGGTGTGGGCGCAACACCGAGGGTCACAATCCCGTTGCCGGTTGCGGTACGGGCGCAACACTGAGGGTTGTGATCCCATTACCGGTCACGAAAAAAGACAAAAAGGAAAAAAAAAAAAAAGTTCAAACACTTGTTGGCTTACTTAAAATAAACATTAAGTACAACAAGAGCTTACTTTTTCAATTCTTTCTTTTTGAGTAGACAGATTCAAAACCCCTTTCTTTTGAAACATTTTTAGATGGGAACAACACACAGCTGTGCTCCTGAGAGGTAGTGCAATGAGATCAAAAAGAGCCGTGGGATTTGGGATCCTGGGAGACCTGGCCCGGGATCCCAGCTCTGCCGCTGAGTAGCTGGATGACCTTGACTGGTCAGTTGACCTTCTGAGCCTCCACGTTCTCTTCTGCAAAGCAGGAGGACTGTCCACCTCCCAGGGCTGTTGTGACCCTCCTCTGACATGGTTAGCAAAACACCTAGCACTATGTCAGCCCCAGGAGGACACGGGCACTGGCGCTGATGGTGGAGATGTGGGAAGACGTGTGGGTCGTGGAGGAGGAAATGCCAGGTGGGGAGTGGCAAAGGGGACCTGGGAACAGTGCTGCTGCCGTTTCTGTTATCAATTGCTGTATGAAAACCTCCTCAATGGCTTAAAACAGCAAATTATTCCCCACGGTGGTTCTGAGGGTTGACTGGGTTCAGCTGAGGTGTTCTCTTGAGGTATCTCACCACTCTGGAGTCGGATGTCAGTGGGGCTCTAGTCATCGGAAGACTGGGTTGGTCTGGACGTCCAAGATAGTTCCCACATGTGACTGGAGTTGGTGCTGGCCGCAGGGGGAGCTCAGTGGGGCTGTCGACCAGAAGCCTACACCTGGCCTCTGCACACATGGCAGCGGGGCTCCAGGAGGGACTGTCTCACAAGCACACATCTCAGGAGGCTCAGGCAGCAGTTGGAAGGATTCTGTGACCCAGACTCACAAGTCACACTGGCCCACCTTCACCACACTTTACTGGCCAAGAGGAAGATACAGGACCAGCCCAGATACAAGGGCAGTGGATGACACAGGGTGTCAGTCCCATTAGTGTGGCTCATGGAGGGTCCATCTTCAGCACCGTGTCTTTGCCCACCGCAGTGGTGGTGGGAGTCATGGGAGATTTGATATTGAGATGATGGTGGCGATGTCAGTGTTAGAAACAGCAGAGATGGGGGGAGGGGCGGGGCAGTAGGGAGGGCACGGTGCTAATGGAGGTGACGGTGGTCACACTGGCAGTAGTATAAAGTTGGTGGCAGTGGTGGCAGTGTGGGGGTGAAGCTGGAGAGGTGGGAGATGTGGTGGTGACAGTGGTGGTGGTGTGTGGCCACACTGGGAGGTTGGTGGTAATGGTCGTGGTGGTTGCCTGATGATAATGGAGGGGATGGTAGTCACAGTGTCGATAGCGTAAAGGTGGTCGTGGTGGTGTGGGAGCAGTGGTTGGCATTAATGGCAGTGATTCAAATGATTAGGTTAGACTTGGTTTCTATGAATCCTTCTCCAATCACATTAGTGCCACCAAAACAGAGGGGAGATATGGTCCTATCTGGTTGTTCATAAGTTCCTGGTTAGTTTTATTTGCTAAAAGAACAACCCTCCCCTCCCTATGAATTACAACTGCTGGCTTATAAGCCACTCTACTTGCAATGTGTGCTTATTTCTATCTTGATAAATTGTGACCCTGGCTTCATAAATCAATATTATACACAAAGTACAGGAAGACTTTGGGCCCAGTTATTTCTCCATCCATCTAGCAGCTTCTCCACCTTTTAGGGCCTCATACCCCTTCACTGGATCCTTTGCATCCAGACAGCATCAAAAGAAAAGAGGAGAGACAGCATGGAGGATACCCAGGAGACTGTGATTACCAGACCCAGAAGGGCCCATATGGCACTGGCTGGAACGAGTCACATGGCCCCCAGGGCTCAAGGGAGCAGGAGGGTCTGGGTTCTCCCACTCTCCTCTCTCATGCTCTCCTCTTGTTTTCTCTCTTCTTCTTTTGTGTTATATACATATTTTAAGCTATCTCAATGGAATAAGGTGGGGTATTATTAATTTCAAGGGGCTAGAGAATGATTCTTTTTTTTTTTTTTTTTTTTTTTTTACTGACCGGCAATGGGATCACAACCCTCGGTGTTGCACCCGCTCCGCGCTCAGCCAGTGAGCGGGAACCGGCGCCCACATGGGATCCGAACCCTCGGCAGGAGCGCTGCCACGCTACCAAGCGGCGCACTCTCCAGTGCGCCACCGGGCCGGCCCTAGAGAATGATTCTTGATTTTGGATGGAACAGCTTCGATTGCTTGACAAAACTGTAAGCCCTCGAAAAATGAAGCTGTTGAAGTATAGCGCTGGCAATTTGGTTGTTTTGATCGAATGCCAGGCATCTCTAAGGACTGAGGTCACATGGCAGATTCCTACCTGAATCTCCTCCCAGTGTTATCATGGGAGAGGAAGGAAGACGTGTCCTGCACCTGTGTGCAGATGGGAAACCTACATACAGTGCCCTCCTGGGTGCAAGGTTCTGTCCGCTAAACCTCATGCTTCTCACGTATTTCTTTCTTGGTGGCTGATTTGTTCAGGCTGCCATTCTTGGTGACATCATAAACGCTGTCCAACATTTCCTCCAGTGACCTTGGAGTTTTCATCACCGCCACGGCAGGGGCATCCATCTTAAAGAAAGACTGTTCCTGTCTCTGCAGTGATCAAAAGTGTTCTCTTCCAGCCCATCGAGCACAGGCTGCAGATCCATAACCTGGGCCATTGCCTGGCCATCTATCTACCAGCAGCAGAGTGCCAAAGGTGTGCAGGAATACTCACCATCCCACATCTCAGATTCCTCCAGGCAGTGTGGGGAGTGGCAGTTCTGAGAAGTGGAGGGAGGATCAGCCTGAGGAAACACAGTCCTTAAGGTTTACCAAACATGTAATTCAATATCTACTTCCTGGCCCCCAAATCAAGCTGTCTCTGCAAAGAAAATCCACCCCTAGGTTGATTAATGCCATGTCTAGTGCCCAGAAATGCCCCTGGGCTTCCTTCTCTCCACATTCCTAATGCTTCCCTCCTCTTGCCTCTCTTCCCTAGAGTCTGTTTCGCTAATAACCCAATTCATCACAGGCCCCACCTGGTCGATGAGTCCAGTGTATGTATGTCTCCAGATTTTTCTGGGATTCTAGGCTTCAGAGGGTCAGTAGTTCACCCAAATCACATTATTCACCTCCTTCCTTTTGTAAAGTCCCAAATAAAAGTGAGTGTTAAGATACGACATCATCTTTAGCATTAGCCAGGAAGGAATCAATTGGGAGTGTCAAAAGCAGATGAAGGGAAGCTGAAGACCAGATTCTTTTCAGTCTAAAGAAAGGAAAGAGAATGTAGATTTGTCTGAAGAAGCGAGAAGCATTTTGCATCCAAGAGAGGAAAGTAAAACACAGTGCTGGGCCCAGCGAGCCCCAATGCTGCCTTTGGCATTGTGAGACCCTGGCCTGAGTCCTTGCCAAAACACCCATTGCCAGTCCCCAAGGTTTGTGCGATTGTGCCCACCTGAGCTCCTGGGCCAGACTCTGCAGCCTGTTGGTGGCTCCAGTGCTCCCATCTCAACTGAGCCCCCCATGCTGTAACTGACTCCACACCTGACACCTCCTTGGGTCCCAGAGCAGCTTTTCAAGTGTCAAGAATTCATGAGTGGGTGGCTTTGTAAAAGCAATAGAAGCTATTCTTTTAAAACCAAGTAAATTGAGCTCATCGACCGCAAACAGGAAGTCAAGCCTTGTTCTCTTTCCCATTCTCTGGATCTTAAGATGACCGTGGACATGTGGACAAGTCCCACCATAGCTGTGCCCGCCCCACAGAACTCTCTTACTGCACCTCCATTTAAAAAATGGTGATCTTTGGAAACTAATCAAGGCTTTATGTATTTTGAGAAATCTCAGCCAAAACTCTATGTGAATACCAAGTACCATATATTTTAGATGGTCAATAGTATATTTACATGTACACATTATACCAGAGTAATTGTATTCCATTATTGATGAATCTTTACTTGAGAGATTTCTCACGTTGGAAGGTCAAATGATCGGGGCAGGAAACTGTCAGGGCCATGACTGTCGTAGCTTAACAGGGAGGTGAGGGAGAGAGTTGGATATTGGGGAGCACTTGGCCCTCACTGCTTGCCCACTGATAGTTCCACTTCCTGCCACTGGTAGGAATTTTGCCTACGCATGCCCAAGGCTGAAGCTGTTCTGAGCTCCCAGCCTGGGGAATCTACTGGGTCTTCAGCTTTAGGGTCCTCAACTGTGAATCTCCCACAAATGTGTTCTCAGCTTCCAGAGTCACCATGCAGACCTGTTGGTACTCTTTTTCAGATGTTAATTTATTGGACAGAAAACATGCCAGATCTCAAATGATGGTGTTGTCTAGTTGTTGTTATCATGGGTTATATTTTCTGCTAACTATACAAC